CCGGCCGTGCTCCTGACTCCAGCTCCCTGTGGGTGCAGACCCCGGGAGGCAGAGGGAACGGCTCACGTGACTGGGTTCCTGCCACACCCATGGGAGGCCTGGACACAGTTCCCGGCTCCCAGCTTCAGCCTGGCCCAGTCCTGGCCACTGTGCGCTTTTGGGGAGTGAAATGGCGCACAGGAGTGCTCTGTCTCCACAATTAGTACATACAACTCAGGACAGATAAAGAAGCCAGGGACAGAGATGCAGGGATGAAGGGGTCAGGGCAAGGGGTCAGAGAGCACACAGGCTGGAGCAGGGGTAGCCCCCAGAGACAGACGAGAGAGGTGGGCGGGGCTGGCCCCTCTGTTGCGTCCCCCAAACCTAACGGGCTAGAGCAGCGTATGTTTGTCATCTCGCGGTCTCTGTGGCTTCTCCGGGCTCAAGGCCTTCCCCCAGACAAGCCGTGGCTGTGGCTTCCAAGGCTGCAGACGGCTGCCCGCGTGGCCTGGTGACACAGCACTGGCTTGCCCCCAAGTGGCGGGATGGAGCGGGGAGCACAGGGCAGAGCCACACATCGGCCATGACGCAGCCCCTCTTGGCCGTCTGCTCGGGCTGCCAGTGTCAGCCACGGTGAGGGGGTTGTGTTTTCTTCTGCGAAGGAGGGAAGCCCCCAGGCGTCTGTCTGATCGATCTTGGTGCTTTACAGCACAGCTGCGGTAGCCACCACCGTTGAGCATTCCGAGTCCCAGAGCTCCAGCAGACACAATGATATCAGATCCTAAGAAGTGGGTATGGCCCCATTTCACAGATGAGAAAGCAGAGGCTTTGGAGGAAACGTTAGCCAGGACAGGATGAAGAGGCCAGTGGATGTGCAGAGAGCAGCCTGGCGGCAGTTAGGAGCGCTGGGTGTCTCAGCAGAGCAGGAGCCCAGAGGTCAAGGTCAGGGGCTGGCAGCCTCTCCATGGCCACACATGGATTTGGGCTTTACCCTGCAGGCGACTGTCACCGGGTGGGTCAGATGTCCTCTTTAGTCTGATGGATAGCTTTGTGCACGAGACAGCGGACCTTGGGGGAACCACTGGACAGGAGGGCGGCGAGCAGGCTGTGGGGGCCCCCTGGGGTGTGGCTGTGGTGTGTGTGTGGAGGTCCTGGCTGTCACGGCAGCTGTGGGGAGGGGCAGAGTAGGTGGAGCCAAGAGACTCCCTGGAGGAGCTGTTTGGGGCTGGGAGGGCTGTCGGGTGTTGCTGTGGACAGAGGAGACAGAACAGGATGGCAAGCCCCAGCTCAGGGAGTCCCGAGGTCGGAGGCCGCTACTCAAAGCCCCTCAGGCTGTCCCGCGCACCCTCTGTGGATGTCGCCAGCATTGACTGCCCATGGGCACCTCCCGCCGCTGCCGCCGGTCACCGCTGCTCCCCTGGCTTCATGTCGAAGCCAGGGCCTGACCCTATCCTGGCCACACAGCCAGAGCCAGGCTCCCGAATGAGCCCGGGGAAAGAGCCAGTCTTCAGCCGGAAGTTCTCAGGCCCCTGAGAAAACACTCAGACAGCGTAGCCTCCTGGGCACGGTCATAAGTGCCGGAGTCGTGTGGCTGGGACTCGGCTCCCACCGCTGCTGCTCCTTGTGCTGTGCGGCCTCGGGTGAGCCGCATGAGCTCTCTGTGCCGCTCCGCACAGAGCATCCAGCGAGCCAGCACCGCACACAGCAGGTGCTCCAGGAGTAGCTGGATTGGTCAGCACACCTCACCGTCCTGGGCTCATATGCCCGGGGAGGCAGGAGGCCTAATTTTGGCATTGGAGACAGGCATGGAAATGCGGCCCCATCCCCGATGGCCCCGTACATCTCAACCAGAGAGGGGTCAAGGATCAGGGTGGGCTGCAGGTGCGGAGGTGACGCGTGGGCTCTCACAGCAGCGAGGCAGCGGGCGAGGTGCCCTCTCTCCCCTTCCCAGCCCGGGGCCCTTTAAACCCTGCTGTTGTTGGAGGTGGCAGATGTAGGGGGGTCTCTCAGAGATGCCTGCCTTCCCTGTGTATGAGGCTTCGGAGCGTGGGGGGGGGTCCTAATAAAAGGCTCCCCTGGTGGCTCAGGGCCGCGGCCAGTGCAACTGTCTGCAGGCTCCCGGGCCACTCCGTCCTGGCCACCTGGCCGTCTTGTATTTGCTTGGATTCAGCTCCTCTTCTGCTCTTTCCTCCCAGGCTGGCGCGTTCCCACCCCAGCTGAGGGACTCTATTTTTGGGAGTTTCGTGGATAATTTAGTGGGCGGAAGCTCCCCACCCACCCCCCTTGGAGCATCCCTTAGAAAGGGGGAGAGCGCTGCAGAGAAGCGAAAAACAGTGGGTGGTTCGGTTCAAAAGGACAAAATAGTTCTTGCTCTGGCACTGGGAGAGGAAAGAAATTGTCTCAGGAACGGAGCGGCAGCTAAACTAAGACTCGGAGAGCTGCAGCCCAGGAGGGCAAATTAGGTGACTCAGCTGCAACTGCCGGGCTCCAGCCCTCGTAGTATTAATGTGCTTTAAAAGGGAAAAACGCTTAACAAAGAGAGAGTTCCATAAAACCTCGGCCAATGCTGACTCTCCCGAGTTCCAGAAGGCGTGCCCGCGCCGCAGCACCGGGCACCTGCAAGACGGGGCCTCGCCTCCCAGGCCCGCGTTGGGTGGGACCGAGTCTAAAATTAGCCTGATAATGAGCCCGCCAGCCCGGCTTCCTGCCTCGCTCTGGCCCCTAGGACCTCCGCTCGCTCCGGAGGCCTCTGGCTGGCAGGGGCTGTGCTGCTGAAGACACGGCCCCCGTTGCCAGCCATCTGAACACCAACTCACAGAGTCTCAGTTTCCTCCTCTGTAACTGGGGCTCACAGCAGCAAGCTGGGGGCGGGGGGAGCGTGGAAGGCATTCGATCTTGCCCAAGAGCTTGCTGGACACGGCCTGGGGGTGACGGGCAGGAAGACAGAGTGGAAGAGGCTTACTCTTGGCCTAATCGCTCCTCACTTCTCCACTTCTTTTTAATTATTTATTTGTAAGGCGGAGTTACAGACAGAGAGTGAGCAACCTTCCACCTGCTGGTTCACTCCCCAAATGGCTGCGATGGCTGGGCCAGACGGAAGCCAGGAGCCAGGAGCTTCATCCGGGGCTCCCATGTGGGTGGCAGGGGCCCAAGCACTTGGGCTGTCCTCTGCTGCTTTCCCAGGTGCATCAGCAGGGAGCTGGATCGGAAGTGGAGCAGCTGGGACTCGAACCGGCACTTTTCAGACACATATTTGTAGCATTGGCTGTACGCCTGACCGCTCTTAGCCCCTCAATGGAATCAGCTCATGGAATCCTGACAGCAACTCATTTTGCACAGTTGGTCCATGAGCCGGAGCCTGGTTTTAAAGCCCCAGCTTTCCGCTGCCTCTTAGGCCACCTGGCCCATAGCTGCCTGAGAGAACTCTCTGGAGGAATGCAAATACAGTGTGTGCCGCCGAAGAGCTGGGCCAACCTTCAGTTTAGCTGCTGAGTGCTGACTTTGCATTTTAAGGCGCGCGTGGCTGGCGGCTGCCATATTGGACAGCACGGGACTGAACCCGTGCATCACTGCAAGGGGCTGGTGAGTGTTTAGAATTTAGAGAGGACCCAAGCTCAGGGCCAACACTGAGTTGGGGATGCCAGTCCTGGGATTGCTAAGTGTGCTGGCTGCCTTCAGAAGATAGCGGTTCGCACGTTTCCCTTGGCGTCTGGATATTGGCAAAAGGAACTTGAACTTCTTTGGTGTCTAGGGTGACCAACCTGGCCCAATTTGCTTGGGACGTCCTTGGCTCCACAACTGAAAACCCAGCATCTCTCGGTGCCAGGCAGCCCAGGACAGCCGGTCGCCCCGCTGTGGCTTCAGGAGGCTTGGGGAAAGAGGCCTTGGGGAGTGGGGTATGCCCCAGGATTGGCTGAGCAAGCTGGCACGTGAGCCACCTGCCTGCTGTGTGCCTCGGTTTCCCTTTGGGAAAGCGGCACAGAGCATCCATCCCCGGCTTGTAGGGGTGCTGCAGACATCTGCTGCAATTGCTCGGCGCACAGTAGGTGGACAGACAGTGTCTGCTCTCCGAGGGACAGCACCACCTGCGCTCTCCTGCTGGAGGCCACCAGGCTGCAGGGCCAGGGTGGGGGGCTGATGTCTCCAGCAGGAGGGGTCCTGCAGGGTGACCGTGGGCAGAGGCGTGGAGAAGACAGTGGTCCCATGGTCGGAGCCAGCTGCCTCTCCGTGCGTCTGGAAGTTCAGGTCCGCGTGTGAGAGAGTGCGGGGAGGCGATGAGTCACCGGCCCTGGCTGCTGCCCACGGTTTGATCAGAACTCACCGCAGGGTCTCATAAAGTGCATTTTCAAAGTGGGCTTTATCGGGGGCCTGCAATGCCCCCCGCCCTGCTCGCAGGTGGAGCGGCACGGGAGCTGAATTCCAGGGAAGGCATCTTGCCAGCTGCACCTCTCCCTCCACCTCCCCACGCACGCCCCCCGGCCGTGTCCCCTGGAGGGAGCCACGCGCAGCTCCCGGGGACCTTCTCCTGGGGCCACGAGTTCACGACATCCCTGCCTTTATTTTCCTGTTTGTGCACAGCGTGTGTAAACACATGGGTTGCCTGGTTTCGGCGTCGCTTTGGCCATTTCATTACTGCTGGAGGCTGCTGAGCATCCCTGGAAACCCTGGATTCCCTAAATGAATCTAAAAATAAACCCTTTGAGAAAAAATATCTTCAAGTTGGAGCGTTGACACAGGCACCGTTATTTATTTCTTTTCCTTCCTCCTCCTTCTCTTCCTCCTATCCAGCATCCCTGAACACACAAGCCTCTGAGCAGAGGGGCCGGGGAGGGGCCCTGGGCAGGTGGGGGGGGCGGGGAGGGGGCGCTCCACGACTTGGGGTACAGCTGGGAGCCCTGGGCAGCCCTTGGAAAACGGGGTGGGGGCACGACGTGGCGTCCTCCCGCACAGCCACCCGCCCTGGACACGCGCGCGCCCCCACCCCCTCCCATCGGCGTCGCCCGCGTCGCGCTGCCTCTCCCCGACTTTTCTCGCGAACAATCAGGGACTTGTGCTGGCGGCCGAGGGAGCCACGGAGCTGGCTGGCCGCGGAGGAGGCGACGTCATGGATTCCTGAGTGTGAAGGTTGCAGGAAAGCCCTTCGTTTTGGAGATGGACGGGATCCAGCGGTTTCCATGGCGCTGGGTAAACAGGAGGAAACAGTGAGGGAATCCCGTTATTTTACTGCATTGAAAGCCTATAAACACGGAGCTCTGGGAAGGAAGTCGCGCTGCCTCTGGAGTAAGCCGGAGCGCGGAGCCGCGCCGACTCCGCCGCGCCGGGAGCCGGGAGGCGCACAGCCCCCGGGCCGCTGGAGGCTCCCGCGGGCGCGCTGCGGCCGAGACGGCGCCCCCCGGCTGCCGCTCTCCGCACCCAGACCCCCGTGCCCCACGCGCCGAGCCCCCAGCCCCTCCAGATGCAGAGAGAGGCTGCGTTCAGACTGGGGCTGTGCCATCCCCTCCGCACCATGGGGTCCGTGGACCAAGGTAACGGACGCGCGGCCCTTCCAGCCTTTCCCCCCTCGCGCCCCCAGCCCACTCGGCCGGCTCGCGTCCCGGGCGGCGCTTCCGGCTCCGGCCAGGGGGTGGGTGCCTGAGGCCCCCGGGACCCCGCTGCCCCAGGGGCGCACAGGTAGAGCGGCCGGAGGAGCGGCGCCCGCGCCCGCGCCCGGCCGGCCGGGGGAGGGAGAGGTCGGGAAGCCGCCGCCAGACGACTCTGCGCGGGGCAGGGACGTGTCCAAGGCGGGATTCCCTGGCGAGCCTTGGGGAGGACGTTCCTCGGCGGGACCCCGGGAGGATCCTGGCTGCTAACCGCTGGCTGCTTAACCGTTTCGGCGCTCGGCTTGGGGACAGCACACGCCAGGCAGCTGCATGCTGTTTTGCTTGTGACCATCATGGTTAGTTAGCTGCGCTTGGACTTTTAAGCAGACAGGCTGGGCGCTTTCCTGTACGGTCAATACGGTAGGGGAGACTCGTCCCGCGCGGTTTCTGGACGCGCCTGGTGGAGAAAGTCCTCCCGGCTCTCCCTTTAAAGTGCAGTGTACCATCAGCTTGTTCTGTGACCTGATTACTGGCTGCCTTCTGTGTCTCTCCCGCTGCCCCCCCTCCTCTTGGGGTTAGCCCTGGACTCAGCCTGCCTGGATCTTAGGTCCGAGGGTTCACGTGGAAGACCCCGTGGGGTGGGCACTGTGGAGGGGTTTCGGCGGCGCCGCGCTGCACCGGGCTGGGACAGTGAAGTCGCCGCGGTGCCCCTGTGGTTTCAGAGGCTCGAGCCCTGCGCGGGGGGCGGGGGCACTGCCCAGTGGGCAGGGCTGCAAGAGTTAAGCGAAATTAATTCGCGTAGGAGGAGTTAGCCTCGTGTCATAAACTCAGAGTTGAATGTAGGTTTTGTGCTCTGCGTGGCTGATTAAAGTTCTAGGGGGGAAGAAATGACAATTTCAGTAAATAAACCTGAGGGCCTTTTTTTTTTTTCTTTTTGAAAGCCAGACTGAAGCCAAGTGCCTTGGGTTAGGTAAATGGCGTGCTTTGCCACTGCGGGTCTTAATGACATATTTTCAGCTGAGTTGCGTTTTTGAAAGCAAGATGGTGCCAGCACTTTGAACGCTTTAACTGGTACCAGTTTATCCTGTCCTCTGCGACCCATCAAGTCCATGACATAACGACCAAAAAAAAAAAAATTACTAATCTGGCATCGTCTGTAAAAGTGACGCTCTCAGACAGGCGACACGTATATTAAGGACGCGAAATGGCTTTTACTGTGAAACATACTGAAACTGAGTGTTTGAAGTTCTGGTGGGGGTGGGGGTGGGGTGGGCGGGGGCGGGCACAGTCATGCCGCCTGTGGCTGTATTTGGAAGGAAGGAGGGAGAGAACCCAGCAGCGAAATGGGGCTTCTGTTTCACTGTGTGATCTCACACAGCCTCGGATTTTTACTGGGACTGCTCAGTCTCCGCTCCAGGTTTGTGAACTTGTTCCTCCGTCCTAGTGTGGAGTTTGTGTGTCTTGTGTGTGTGTGTGTCCACACTCGGGAGTGAGTGGATGCCTGTGTGTGTGTGTGCACACTTGGGAGTGAGTGGACACCTGTGTGTGCATGTGTGTGCACACTCGGGAGTGAGTGGACACCTCTGTGTGTGTGTGTGTGCGCGCGCACTCGGGAGTGAGTGGACGCCTGTGTGTGTGTGTGCACATTTGGGAGTGAGTGGACACCTCTGTGTGTGTGTGTGCGCGCACACTCGGGAGTGAGTGGACGCCTGTGTGTGCATGTGTGTGCACACTCGGGAGTAAGTGGATGCCTTGTGTGTGTGTGTGTGCACACTCAGGAGTGAGTGGACACCTGTGTGTGTACACACTCGGGATTGAGTGGACACCTGTGTGTGTGTGTGTGCACACTCAGGATGAGTGGATGACTGTGTGTGTGCACACTTGGGAGTGAGTGGATGCCTGTGTGTGCATGTGTGTGCACACTAGGGAGTGGATGCCTCTGTGTGTGTGTGCACACTCGGAGTGAGTGGACACTGTGTGCATGTGTGTGCACACTTGGGAGTGGATGCCTCTGTGTGTGTGTGCATACTCGGGAGTGAGTGGATGCCTGTGTGTGCATGTGTGTGCACACTCGGGAGTGAGTGGACGCCTGTGTGTGCATGTGTGTGTACACTCGGGAGTGAGTGGATGCCTTGTGTGTGTGTGCACACTCGGGAGTGAGTGGACACCTGTGTGTGTGCACACTCGAGTGAGTGGACGCCTGTGTGTGTGTGCACACTCGAGTGAGTGGACGCCTGTGTGTGTGTGCACACTCGGGAATGAGTGGACACCTGTGTGTGCATGTGTGTGCACACTTGGGAGTGAGTGTACGCCTGTGTGTGTGCACACTCAGGAGTGAGTGGACAGCTGTGTGTGTGTGCACACTCGGGAGTGAGTGGACACCTGTGTATGTGTGTGCACACTTGGGAGTGAGTGGATGCCTGTGTGTGTATGTGTGCACACTCGGGAGTGAGTGGACGCCTGTGTGTGTGTGTGTGCATACTCGGGAGTGAGTGGACGCCTGTGTGTGTGTGCACACTCGGGAGTGGACGCCTGTGTGTGTGTGTGCACACTCGGGAGTGAGTGGACACCTGTGTGTGTGTGTGCACACTCGGGAGTGAGTGGACGCCTGTGTGTG